TTCTCCTAATTTCACGTACCCATTATTTTTTTAATTCCTTATAGTAGATTTGGATTAGGTCTCAAAATTGTGAAATGGTTCAGGAGTTATGCTAATTAAATGATTAACAAATAGACTATGATAAAGTCTAAATTAATTTTTTATGCAAAAGTTTGAACGGTAAGATAAAGTAATTAAAACTATATTAAAAAAAATTCTTTCTTTAAACAAAAATATATATATATAAATGCTCTATTATTCGAAGTATAAAATATTGGTCGAGGTTTCCATCTATCAATAAATTACAAATTCTTTTTTTTTATAATCTTTCTAGAAATATCTATCAACATTTTATTGTTATTTTCGGTGAAAATGAGACTTTAAATATCAACATTTTTTTTTTAAGAATACAACAAGTTGGGATAGGAGTTCAAATTCATGATCTATTGATCAGAGATAGTTGCCAATTACGAAATCTCATTTTGATATTTGACGATCATACATGTTGTATAGGTAAATTTTAGATATGAAAATATGAGTAAATTAAAAAATATTGAAAAAATTCTTTGGGAGCAACAACAGGTTATTTCTTTGATTTTTCCATAAGCTTTTTTGTTCTTTCTTTCATCTTTCCAAAAAGCTTCTTTTTTTACTTTACGGTGAATTTCAGTCATATCTGGTAGGCAGATATGGTGCTTTAAATGCTATATTACTTCAGAAAAACTCGAAAAAGTATAAATTTCAGTCCGCGGTCAGTTGCAGCCTATAAATCGAACTTCTTCTTCCCCTCTTCTTCTTCATTCTCCGTCTTCGATCTCCGGCGACACTGTTTTCCCTCCGAATTTCGCCAAAAAAGAGTGCTTCAAACTTCAGCCTCGTTATTCTTTAATCCCTATCCGCCATTTCGCCGATTTTGTACTTTATGCTCCGAAAATGGGAAATTTCTGCGCCTGCCTCGCACCCAAATCGATGAAGAAAAAACCCACAAAGCGCCTTCTGAATCCACCTCTGCCCACCAATCCAAGCAAAAGATGGACTCGAGTGAGGTCTTCCAGGAAGGACAAATCCGACGCTTCTCTGGCTCCAGAGCAAGTTCTCGCCGCTGCGATTCTGTTCCAGCAGCGCCAACAGCAGAACGGCGGCGACCCTTTTGATCGGACCACTTCGCTCCGCTACCCAAAATCTGGGTCGAAGAAGAGTAACGCATTGCCGCGGAGTTCGAGCTCGCGTGCTCGATCCCTTACCGATCCCCTGCTTCAGCCTCATCAACTTGTTAGCGAGGTTTTGCTTATACCCTTTTATCTCTATAACTGCAGATTGTAGTGTTTTCTAAAACTATAGTGTTCGTTTTTGGAGTTTGCCTTTGGATTTTTAGTTGATGAACTGATGGGAGTTATCTGCCTCTGCTTTTCAAGATGGGTTCCGTGGTTTCTGAGTTGATGATAAGAAAAAATTGCAAACCAATTACTGGTGTTTTGATTTAGACCACTTGCCCACTTTACCTTTTCCAATTTAAGATGACAGTGAGAGCTTTACCCCTAATAAATAAGATGCTATAAATGTAGTTTAAGACTATATATAATTCAATCCATGCTGATTAATAAAAAGTAGTCTTAAGCTTGATAATTTTTATTGACGGTGAAAATTTGTTGATTTGATTAGTTTTGTACCTTTTGACAGTTTTTGTTCCGTATTCGATGCAGAATATAAAGCTTGAGGATATAGAAACGAGTCATTTTGTTCTTGTCCATGGTGGTGGCTTTGGGGCATGGTGTTGGTACAAAACCATAGCACTTTTAGAAGAAGGGGGTTACAAAGCTACTGCAATAGATTTAACTGGTTCTGGAGTTCATTCATATGATCCAAATTGCATCACGAGTCTTTTGCAATACGTGCAGCCGCTTACTGATTTCCTTGAAAAGCTTGCTGAGGGAGAAAAGGTCCTTAAACTTGCTGATTCTTTTCTTTTGCAGTTCTATTTAATGCTTCTGATGCTTGTAGTTAATGAAGTAAGGGTAAAATGTAAAATCTCTAACTTTTACTATGTGCCTGAAATGTGTAGTTTTGAGGAAAATATTGATTTTGTGACCAAGTTGAATGCCTTTGAATGTGTAATTATGGAGTCATTAATATTGTGTTTTTGATAAAATTGTTGTTTCCTTCCTCACATTTTGGAAATTCCTCTCTATTCATGCAGGTTATCTTGGTGGGGCATGATTTTGGTGGTGCATGTATAGCGTATGCGATGGAGTTATTTCCTTTTAGAATTGCAAAAGCCATATTTATTGCTGCGGCAATGTTGACCAATGGACAGAACACTTTAGACATGTTCTCGCAGCAGGTATTCATGCTAATCTGTTGTTAATTTGTGATCCAGTAATACAGATTCTGAAGTTGCTCATTTTTAAGTTGTTGAACATGTATTTGAATTGTGTTGCACGTTTGAAATTAAGCGCTTTTAAAAATGCTTTCAAATAATACAATGAAATTAAGAGCCTTAGGAAATGCCAATGCCAATGACATGACACCTTCTGTAGCCTCTTCTCTGCTGGAAACTGGGCAGTATATTTATGATTGTTAAAGATAAAATTTAGCACCATTAACATGTATTTTGAACATCCTCACCATTCTTCTCCCAATATGCACTAGGAAACTCGAAAGACTTGGGTTTACTATGCTCTTGAATCTTCATTCCGTAATTCCCCCACGGTTTTTTATTTGTTTCCCATTTTGGGTTCAACTTGCTGCTTATTCTCATCGTCTTCATCTTTCTTCCCGATCAGCCCTACCTTTGGCTTCCACCTTTTAGTTGGTTGCTTTTAAATTTTGGGATTCACATGGTTGATTAACACATACTCCATATGGGTTCAAGAACTTATATTTCTTGACAGGGGATTTTCTGGTTTTCCCTTTACTATGTAGGTGAGGTATGTGAATGTATCCTTTTTTCCTACTGCAGACTGGTGTGGATGATCTAATGCAACAGGCTCAGATGTTTTCCCACGCAAATGGGAACGACCACCCTCCGACTGCTATTAACTTTGAAAAATCATTGTTGAGGGACTTATTTTTCAATCAAAGTTCTGCCAAGGTAATGCCATTTTTAAATATCACAATTCGTGGAGTTCTATTCTAAATATTTCAGAAATGTGTGTGTGTGTTTTTTTTTTTTGGGCTTAACTAATGAGAAGATCATGGAATTGCAAGGAAATTCTCTTGTTATAATCCAAATGTGTCTGATGGAGCAATAGAGTTTAAACAGAGTAGAGTTCATATTTGGTCAATTTTGTATGACTTGCCTAATGTATATATGATTATGATGATTTTTGTTATTTATTTATTTATTATTATCTTTTTCTGCAAATATATGATGATTGTTAATGATTCAATCAGCATTTCCAACAATATGAGCAAAGCTTTAATTTCCGTACTAAAGTGGAAGAAATGATGATATTTATCTCTCTTTTTTCCCAAAAGTGTCAAGATTTTGTGTAACATCTCATAGTTTTGTGTCATCAAAATGAAATGGTGCTTTTAGATTTTCTAAAAACGAGAATTCAGCTTAAGCTCCAGATATGCTTTTGGGAAATCTCAGATGATTCATTACAGAAGATTATAAAGTATTGTTTTATCTTTACGACTCATGCTCCATGGTTTCTTGAAACTGTTCCTGTTAATGTCACGGATAATACCTTAATTCATTGCTTGAGTTCCTTTAACTGTTTTCCATTCTTGCTCATTGCTATTTGTATTTATGGTACAGGATGTTGCTCTGGCATCTGTATCAATGAGGCCGGTACCGTTCGCACCTATTTTGGAAAAGTTGTGCCTTTCAGACTTGAAATATGGATCAGTCAGACGATTTTACATCGAAGCTCCCGAAGACAACGCCATTCCCATCTCATTACAAGAGAGTATGATAAACAAAAGCCCCCCACAACAGGTCTTTCGGCTAAAAGGTGCAGATCATTCCCCTTTCTTCTCAAAGCCTCAAGCTCTAAACAAGCTATTGGTAGAGATCTCAAAGATCAAAACACCATCATAGCATCATTTTGAGTCAGAAGCAAGATTAGCTAAGGTCTCCAGATATCCGTCCCATACACCTACACGACCCGGAAATCAGCGAAATTGTCAGCCGCATTATAAGGTCAGAACGAATCCATAATGTATAGGCTCATTAACATTAAAGAAAAATAAAAGGTTCTAGTACTTGATTCATAAATGAAATATGCTGTTTTCATTTTCCTGTGTGTGCTCTTTCTTGAGGGGATTTTTGTTTCCTTTCCTCTCGTGTCTAGGAATTTTTGCTACAACTACAACAAATAGATCTTTTTGAGGATAAATAGTCCTCATTCAAATCACATCCAAGATTGAAAAGCTTGAGGTAACTTCTTGGATTTGTTCCCTCTCTCCGTTGTGGGTTTGCAATTATAGTATGAACACTGGCATTAATTTGAAAGCTTTGTTAGGAAGAACAAGTAGGTATTGGGGGTTGAGGAACACTGACATTTGAATAGAAATAGCCACCAGATTTTGAACGCTTTTGAATTAAAAAGCCTTGGAAATTAGTTCACTTCTCTGTTACTCAACTTGTTCTCTGTATCTAGAAAGTGTTTGTGTATTGCACTTGTAGCCATTTGAACTGATCTGATTCTGCCATTTATATGAATAACTGTTTGGTTTAAGTAATTTGGGATCACAATTCTTGGACAGAATCGCTTTCCAGTTGAATTCCCATTCTACCAACTGAACATAAAACTAGCTTCACTGTAAAGCAATCCTACAAAGATCTTCGTTCTATTTGCTTATGTGCTCTCATTTGTTTCATTTAGCCTCCGAATTGTTGCTCATGTTAATTATCAAGTTAAATATAAAAACGATAAACATAAAATATAAATGTTACTAAAGAGACGCTAAAAAAAACTTAGACAACAAATTTATACATATATCGAAGTTCGACATTTCATGTGGTTCCACATCGACTTTTAATTATAATTTTTCGTTAAAGAGATGAAAAAAAGAGACTAAATTTAAATGTTAAATGAAGACTATGAATTCTCACTTTATGTTAGAAGCAAGAATAACTCCCACGTGTTGTACTAAAAATAATAATAAATAAATATTAAACTAAGGCAAAATTAATTATTATTTTTTTAATTTCTCTAAAGTACCATTAAATCTCTGCTTGATGAAGCAGACATTAACCTAATCACGTGAGCCTTATCATTGTTTCTCATATCAATCAATTCATTACCAACTAATAATGTGAACCTTTGAATTAGATTATTAAATTAGGAACTTAGGCATCAATCGCACTTTGTGTAACAATCCATCGTTTTCCTAAGAAAATTAACTATTTATTTCAAATTTGCTCTCAACATTTTAAACATTTGAAAAGATTTAATTCTACCCACCAAAAATCTACTAATTTTCTCAACCATTTTTAAAACTGAAACCAACCACCTACACTAAAAATATTTTAGCATAATTAAAAAAAAAAAAATTGAGTTCATTAGAGCCTGAATAGCGATTGTTCCACCGACAATTCCGGTGGCCTTGCGTTTCCAACAAATCTCCGTTTTAATTGAAGATAAGAGAACGGAAAAAAAATAAAAGATTTGAATTTTGAAAGTAATATTTAATAGAGCGTCTCTTGCTTTGGCTGTTGCCTGTGCTGCGAAAGTTCTCTGCTGGCTTCCATCATTTTGCTCCTTATCTCTTCCTTTTGATCCCATTTTCGTTTCGAAAGGATCTCCGGAGGTAACCCCTTCAAATCTTGACCTTCACATTTTCGGATCCGCTTCTGTTTAGGGGTTTCAGCTTCCAATTTCTACCCATTTCACCGATCTGATCGCTGGCCATTTGCAGCTATGAATTGTGATTCCACCCCTTCCCCTCCTTTGTATATAATGTCGTGATTATACTTGATTCGATGTCTGTGATAATTTAATTTATCAGTTTGTTTTTTCTTTTGTTTTTGTCGTTTTTAGTGATATTGGTGAGAGTTGATGAGGTTGAAATGAAAAATGGTCCTTGTTTTAATTGCCGTTTAATGGATAGAAACGTTAAAATGCTTGTTTCTGGTGCCGTGTGAGCTTAAGGTTATAGCAGACTTGGGGAAATGTTTGAGGAACTTATAAAGGTCGGTACGAATTATTCATAGAAATGCAGAATTCATACCATGTAGCTCTGGATTCACCATCGTTAGCAGTAAAATAGTTTTTAAATTGACCTCTTAACCTTATTATTTTATCCATTAAATCTTATAATTGGCTTGATAGTCTTCAACAAGAGCCTTTGGATCGTGAGTTTCTGCTTAAACTTGCGTGCATTTTCTCATATTGCCCTTTATGCCTATGATTATATTTGTATCTGCATTCTTTTGATATATCTTTCTTTTCTGGTATCCTCCATTTGTTTCTGGCATAGTCTAAAAATTAAACGTCTGATCACTGTCTGATCACTGTAACTACATCTGGGTTTTATGTTGTTATATTAAAAGGAGAAACAAAAGGCTTGAAAATGGGTCGTGGAGTTAGCAGCGGTGGTGGACAGAGCTCCTTGGGCTACCTGTTTGGAGGCGGAGAACCTGCCAACAATGTGCAAGCTTCTCAGAAACCCAATGGATCTTCTCAGCCTACCTCTTCTACCGCGCAAGCTACCGATAAAAACATACCTGCTGGCGTTCCTGCTGGCATTCCCGCGAATTGTACTAACAATTACTACAGGGCGGATGGACAGAACTGTGGGAACTTTATCACGGTAGGCACCTTGTCATCAAATGTTTTCTGCTGGTAATGCTGGGACTTGTGTTTTTGCCTTATAATTGGTTGATTTGTTGGAAAGAATGTTTAAGTTGGTAAACATGGCAAGTGATGAGGAGATAACTGAGGCCATAGTTGGAGAGAAAAAGGCTAAAACAGTAGGCACGTTATTGCTTATCTTATCACCTGCCATGTCTTATAACTTCTTTGGCTAATCCCCTGGGCCACATCTGACAATTTAGGATGCTGGTAGCAAATTTGGACCCTATATAACCAAATAAAAACTACTGGAGAACATCACGAATTTGATAACTAACTCAATTCTATATGGTAATCAAATTTGAATCCCCATTTATATATGAGTAGAGTATAACCATTGGAATGAAATGTGGGTTCATGTGTTGGCAGGATCGCCCATCAACCAAGGTTCACGCCGCACCTGGTGGCGGGTCTTCGCTGGACTTCCTTTTCGGAAACGGTAGGAGCTAAGCTGACCAAGAAAGCAGCTCGCCCCTTCATTGGCGCCTATGATACGTAAACTAGAAAGTTACATGTACCTTTGAAAAACTTAGTCTTTTTTGTCTTTCGAATTGTGGTATTTCCTTCTGCACGAGGTAGTCTCTCCTCATTGCCAGAATCGCAGACATGTTTGCTGCTGAACTTTGTATGGTTGGCTCTTGATGCTTTGTTTTGAAACAATTGATTGTTGTATCTTTCTCTGAATCTCTGGCATCTGCTGGTTACTCAACTTGTATAACTCTGTCTCTTTGCATCCTATTAGGATCAAACTCTTTTTTAAATCTTGATTTTTTACCCCATTCTAGAGTGGCTCTTTTCAACTCTCCATCAGTTCTTTGACATTAATTTAATTTCTGTAAATGTAACTGTCATCAATCGACCCTTTTGAAATATAGTAGTTTTATGAATTAAACTTGGGGGTTGTGGATAAATTGTTTTATGTTCATTTACAAGGAGGCCAAATTCTCTCCTCGACGATTAATGGTCAACTTTTCAAGATAATTCTACATCCCACTTAGATTTCTATATTTTATGCTTGAGTCGTAAGTTTAACCCAAGACTTCTAGTGATCAATTTTTTAATTTTGGATTTGGGTTGTTGTCTTGTTACCTTTTTTTTTATATATTATTTATTATTTATGGCAAATTAGAAAAAAAGTAGTGAAATGAGACAAAAATGATAACAATAAAGATGAACTAGAGGGCTTATATCGATTACCGTTAAGTTATACTCGCTTTGACCTTAAAATTGTATTTGTATATACCTTAGTTTGTCAATAATAATTATTAGGTAAAGTTAACATCAACCTTAATTTGTTAAGATATGTATCTTCGATAAAAAAAGATAATGTGATTGGACTCCAACTTATGTAGCTAAACTATGTTGGCATAATTATATATAATTAGAGTTATCATTACAAATTTGTGTCGGGAGTGAGACAAACATGATAACAGTAATATCGAAAATACATGTCTTAACAAATTAAGGTGGATATTAACTTTACCTAGAAATTATTATGGTAAGACTAAGGTATATACAAATACAATTTTAAGGCTAAAGCGAGCATAGCTCAACAGGATTGATATATAGGTTATGAGTTCGGTCTTCCACCCTCATATGTTATACTAAAAAAACTACAATTTTAAACACTCCAATTCATTTTTTATTATTAATATTATCATTTTTGTCTCATTTCACTTTTTTTTGATTACTCCAGCTTAGAGTTGTGTTGGCACTGTTTTAATTTGGATTTAATTCCTATTGTTCTCTAATTTTTATGATTTCAAAATTTTAAATATAGTTATTATGATTTAGTCAAAGTTCACAAATCCTCCTTGTCATTATCATATTAGATACTTTTGTTTTCACATAACATACTCTATTTAGGTTTAGGTAACTGTGTTAGTCTTATGGTTTATAGTTTTGTAAAAAAAAAAGAAGATAAAAGAAAACAAATTGAAACTAAGTCTATGAACCAAATTGAAGTTAAGTTATTAAATTGAAAATTTTAAAATTATAGGACCAAATTAAAACTGCGTCCAACTCCCATTCAAAAAAATTAGCTCACATAAAAAAGTCTTAAAATTCGAAAAAAGAGAGAATTTTTTTTAAGATTTTAGAAGTAAAAAGAAAATTATAGACGAAAAAACAAATATATTTTTCACACAATAATTATTATACAATATCCGTCCATTATATATATATATATATGAAATATAAAAATGAAAAAGAAAAAGGAATTTATAGGGAAAATAGCGTTGGGTTCACGCGAGTGTGGTACGTGAGAATCAGAAGCTTTAAGCTAGGGTTTTCTGTGCAGCCTCCCTTGGCGCCTTGATACTAAGAAAAGGGAGGAGAAGATAGAACCAGAGATTTGCAGAGACAGCTGCTACGATGTCGACTGTGGTTCAAACCTCCGAAGAAGATCCGGCGCTCACCGTCGTCCGCTTTGCCTCTGAGCTGGCTTGGGCCGACGCCGGTCCTGAGGTTTCATTTTTCTTCTCTCTTTCAAATCAATTTGCTACTTTGCCAGCGCCGTTCATACCTTGAGTTTGTGGCCGCCTCTAGGTTTTACAACTTCATCAATTTGTTTCTTTCACAATCGTCTATATTGATTTTTTTGTTTAATTTCATTCAGGAGTATGGTTATTGATGTATACTATTGGAATTTGAAAATTATAATAAGTTGTAACGATCTAGAGGGCCTGCATAATGCACTGCTTGCTATATGTAGTTCTGGTAATTTGCGAAGGTTATGTGATGGCAAATGTTTCACCACATACGTCTGAAGTCGTGGGAAAAGGGTGGTTATTGAGCACTGAGAAGATATTCGTCTCTCAGTATAGTTTTGCATAACCTTGTTATGCCAGTATGGCTTGCGATATAATTTTACGTGCTTTTTTATCCGTTCACAAGCAAAAAGTTCAGAAAAAGGCGTATTGCTTGTATATATTTTCATGATAATTTGGTCTTTTGTCTATGATGTGTATATTTGGAACGAATCGAGATTTGACATACTATTCTGGTTAGTCCTGGGGAATGATTAATTGGTGTTTGATGATTTTTGTAGGCTGCTGAGCCACAAGTTAATAGACTTTGCAACGAAGCTCAAGAATGTATGGTTATGGGAAGATGGTTTGATCTGGCATCTCTAATGCTTACTTCTGCTGACTTGATATTTTCAAAGGTGTCTGAAAAAGGTAAATGTAGTTTGACATTGAAAAATAAGAATGACTCTGTAGGATTTTATTTTTTTTTATATTTTTTATTTTTGTGGGAGGGGTATCTGTATTTTGTCTTCAAGAGTTTAAATTGTAGCATTATGAAATGAAAGGTAGTTGAGGTTGCTTCTTTTATTGTTGCTTATTGATGCCTGTGAGTCCGTGACTTTCAACTCGAACCATAAGAATGTCAGTGTGGAGGCAAGATGTTAGTAAAAAGAAAGTGGAGGAGAAGATGTGCTTCATGGTTACCCATATTTGGTCTTCAATGTTGGTTTTATCTGTATTCTAACTTCAAGAGTTTAAATTGTTTCATTATGAAATGAAAGGTAGTTGAGGTTGCTTCTTTTATTGTTGCCTGCGAGTCTGTGATTTTCTTCTGGAACTATAAGAATGTCGGTGTGGAGCCAATATTTTAGTGAAAAGATAGTTGAGGAGAAAATGTGCTTCATGGTTATCCATATTCGGTCTTCAATGCTGGTTTTAGTCTGATGAGGTTGTGGTCCCTCTATCATCCTGGCAAGATGATCTGCATACACTTATACAGTGATTTTCTTTGGCAACAGATCTTGAGTGTGTATTCACTGTTATCTGCAATCTTGTCACCAAGGCTGGAAGTCCAGATGAATCACTTGAAATGGCAAAGCTTATATCTGCAAAGATTGTTCAACAGCCAACTGACAAACCTGCACTGCGCTTGAAAATGTACGCTCTTTAAACTTGGATATTTTGATTGTAAGATCTTGACTCTTCTTTTTTCTCATTCTCAAGTTTTCCTCTTTTACAGATTGTTCAATCTCTACAACCTACTCGAGAATCCATATAGCCGGTTCCATGTTTACATGAAGGCACTTGATTTAGCTCTCAAGGGGAAGGCCCCTGAACATATAATTCCATCATTAAAAAAGATAGAGAGTTTCTTGAGAGAGTGGAATGTTGGAATCATAGAGCAGAGAGAACTTTTCCTCGCCATCGCTAGTGTATTGAAAGAAAGTAAGAGGTACTACAGAATGAATGATGTCTCTAAATGAGTTATACTTATTTTGTCTTTACTTTTCACTATTTCGTATCTCTTATGTTTTTATTTTGATATGAGCGATTTGTTTACTCTTACCAATAATATAAAACTAATTTATGATTGACAACTTCTCTTTGATTTCAGTTCTGCAAATGATTATTTCAAGTTCCTTACCAAATATTTGGCCACTTTCTCTGGTGAAGATGCCTATATCTTGAGTGAAGCTAAGGAGGAAGCTGCTCGTGCAATAGTTGAATTTGTGAAGGCACCTAACATGTTTCGGGTATTTTACTGTCTTTTGTAATGTAATCTATTTTTAAGCTATTTACCATAGTTCAAGCAACTTATTACATTGTTCCAATAAGTTCTAGTTGATTCTGTATCATGTCTAGGACTATGAAAACTCTTATTGGTAAATTTTTGGTTCATCCATTGATGGGCTCTTTCTGACATAACTACTAGCTACTTAATTCCTCAGCATGGTTTTGGGCTTGAGATTCATGGGGCCAATTGTTATATTGGTTCAAACTTCTATCCGACATCCAGTGTTCAAGACTCAAATAGAAACCTTGCCTATTGGGAAGGGTTTATGAGGTGAAGGCTCGATGCATCTGTGGTTCGCCGATTTGGGATTGACTGTAGCAGGGAATCCTCCTGTCTCATTCTGTAAAATCTGGAGAGAAAGAATCTTAGATTAATTTTTGGATAGATAACCAACCGTTAATGCACAACCTCCTGATTTTTTGCCATTTCTGGGCTGAAAGATATCACAGTTGAAGGTACTTGGGAGGATAATACTATCTTACATCATTTTGACTGGTAGAAAAGAAAACTGAGTGAGGAGGAAGTGGGTGCTTTTAGGCAACTTCTGGCAATATTTAATAGGGTTAATCCTGACATAGGTGAAAATAAAACCAAAAGGTGGTTGGGAACTTGTTGCAAAATTGAATCTTATTTTTCACATTCATTTTTGGGACTATGGTTTTCTGTACTTTGATGGTTGAATCTTTTTGTAATTTTTTATTATATTTTTTGAGAGAATGTTTCATCCTTTTTTTCTTGTAGTGCTTCTCATATTAATTCTGATTCTTGGTTTCTATAAAAAAGGGTATTAATATTTTTCTTTAAAATGTTTTTCAGACTGCAAGAAAGTTTCAGGGATGCATTCTTGTTATTGGCTTGTTTATTTCTATTGGCTACTAAATTAAGTTTAGGAGCAGATTTTTCTCAATAACTTGATTCCACATTGATATTTCAAATTTGATTTTTAGCCAATATTATTGACTTAATAGCCAAAAACTGTTCTCTACGTTTGCAGTGTGATTTGCTAGATATGCCTGCTGTAGGGCAACTGGAGAAGGATGCCAAATATTCATTGGTTTATCAGCTTCTAAAGATTTTTCTGACTCAGAGACTAGATGCTTACTTGGAATTTCATGCCGCTAATTCGACTTTATTGAAAAGCTATGGTAAATTTCTCAACTCTAGTGATAACTCTAGTCATTAGAGCTAAATTTTGTACTCATGCTTGCTGGCTTTATTCCTTACCGTGGTGTAGGTCTCGTCCATGAAGACTGTATAGCAAAAATGAGATTATTGTCATTGGTGGATCTTGGCTCAAATGACTCTGCCCGCATTCCATATGCTCTCATTAAGGACGCGCTGAGGGTGGATAAACTTCCCCTTTTCCAGGCTTCTCTTTCATATATTATTTTGTGATCTGGGTGTGATCTGTGTTTCAGATCAATGATGATGAGGTGGAACTGTGGGTGGTGAAGGCCATTACTTCCAAATTGATTGACTGCAAAATGGACCAGATGAATGAAGTTGTGATTGTGAGGTGTGTGCTACACATTATTCACATGGCTGCAACGCACTTCTATGGTTATTCATAGCTTATTTTGTACTAAGAACTTTTTGATGTTCATGTGCAGCCGCTCAACCGAGCGTGTATTTGGGCAGCAACAATGGGAAACACTTAGGACGAGGTTAGCTACATGGAGGGTAAGTAATCTCTTCTGTTTCTCTTTTAATATAAAAAAAATATCTCATAGGTTGTCAAGCTTCCTTTATCAACATTACCTTTTCTTAGGCAACATACAATCCAGTCATTAACTCTTGAGATTTTAATTTTGCAAGTAGTAGTTAGCTCCGCCTCTCCTTTTTCGCCTTCCATTATGTCGTATTGCAACACACTATGGTTGGTGTCTTTGCAGGGTAATATCGCAAATGTCATTGGCACCATTCGAGCAAACAAAATCATCGATGATGGATCACAGGGTATGCAAGGTTTAGCGATCCGTTGAAGAGTCGATCTTTTTGTTTGTTGATCTGTGAGTTAAATCACTTACCTTTCTGGATAAATGCTAGGATGTCATGTTCTATTTGTTCAAATTTTGACATGGAGAACTACATTGGAATCGGGTTAGTTGATTTATATTATAATGGATTGTATCATGATCTACACTCCCAGGCCTTTCGATCGGCTCTCTGGTCTTTAAATTTATTTGAGTAGTGGTATTTTTACACCCCCTTTAAGTTTCAGTAAATTTTCTCATATATTTTTTTTTTCTTGGTTCTTGATCAAGATGTGATTTGCCCAATTTTTTTAATTGTGTTTGGGTCTTGATCTTTCACTTCTTAATTTTTTATTACCACCATGATCAAGACTTGTAAAGTCGTGGAAGTGGCAAAAGAAAAAAAAAAGGCAAAAGGAAAAGCTTATCCCCAAACCTAAACTTTAAAGTGCATGCGACATGTCGTCTTTGCCGTACCGGAATATGCTTTCCTTCGACCTAATCTCCGCAGTGTGGCTCACATGGGAAGAGCTATTTAGATCATTATAACATAATTAATCGGAGTTTTAGGATATAATTTTCTGTTTTGTCTTACTAGTTTTATAATTTTGAAAAGATTAAAATATTATAGTTATTTTAAGAAATAAAATGAAAATTGAAATATATCATAGTCCCTAATATTATTGTGTTTGTGTGTGTTTTTTATTTAGTCTTTATTTAAAAGTTTCTTTTTAATGTTTTCATTATTAACAATTAAAATTGACTGTACATAAAAAAAGAGTGAAGGTTGATTTATTCAAACTTATGTATTGATCTATTGTTTACCATTTTTATAAGACATATAACAGGAGGTTTGAATTTCTACCCAGATTAAATTAAAAAGAAAATTAAATTCGAGTAACCAATAAAATAATCCATTAATGCAATGTAATATTTTGGAATCGATTTAAAAAGAATATAGCAAAATAATAATAATACACAAATAAAGTAGGTATTATTTACAAGTTTACTTTTTTAAAGACCGAAAGTAAAAAAAAACAAGATGATAATAAAAAATGTCTTTTATTTATTTATTTTTTATTCAACAGATGTGGTGGGGAGGAATCCTTCAACCTCGTAAAAATAATACATTTCTTATAAAACCAAAAGCAAAAGCAAATAATGCAGAGAGAAACCAGAGACTTCCCTCCCTATGAAAACAAACAATATTCCTTTACCTAATTATAGTGTAATATTTTTAAATTCTCAACTTTACCTGTAATCATTAAAAATTCTCAAAATATATATATATATATATATATATATATATATATATATATATATATCAAGCTCATTAAATATTGTTAATATAACGTAGGAGTGCCAAAGCGAGCATACTGCCAAATACTACCAAATTCTTGACACTCAAGCATATCACTAACGAAAAATAGATTGTGTTGATGAGTGAGAGAAATAATATATTAACAAGATAAAGCATCCAAGTATTAACCTATAATTAACAAAATCAACAACTTTTAATTCCCACCATTCCCATCTCCAAGGTTCTTTAAATTCCCCATTAACTCGAGCCCAAACCTTCACAAAAACCAGAGACCAGAGAGAGAACTAAATTAAACATGGGTCGTCTTTTTCCTGCAGTGGCAATGGCGGCGATGATGGTGGTGTTCCTCTCTTCCACCAATTGCAGAGCTTCGATACTGATGAAATCCAACGCCACCTACGGCTGCGGCGGCGGCGGCGGCGAATGTTTGGGAATCTCGGAGGCGGTGGCGGCGGAGTTGATGGTGGGTAGCCACGTGGCGCGGTTTCTGGATTTTAAAGACAACAAACCGAAAACAGATGCGACGAAAAACCGTAATGTGGGGACCTGCGGGAGCGGCGCCGGAAACCCTAAGGGCGCCTGCAACGGCGACCCGAAGAGTAAAAAAAAATGCCCCACGTACGGCGGCTCCGCCACCTGCTGATCACGATTAAATTTCCATTGACCTTGTTGCTTGTTCTCTGTGCGTGTGTCTTTGTTTTCCTCTTTTGGTGGTGGTGGTGTGTTAGTTGATGCCATATTATTGTATCAGTTTTTGGGCCTTGGGGGTTGTTTTTCTCTCAATTAATGAACCAATACAACTCTAAATTTGAGAGGATACACCAGTTTTATTAAATTTTCTTGATGAAAAAAAATGTGAACAGAAAGATCTTCTTGAATTGAACCGAGTCCACTGATCTAAGAAAGAGTGAGAATTCTTGATAAAATTTAGGATTTGAATCGATGTTATTTCATTGAGGACTCACAAATTACATAGATTTATCTTATCCATCTTATTTCAATTATATATATATATATATATTTTTTTTTTTAGAAAGAGGAACCATTTTAATTAAGAGGGTAGGCGAGAAATATACAAAGCTAAAATCAAACCGCTTCAATTAAGTAAAATTGTGGACTCATCCTAAAGTTTTAAACTTTTGTCTTTAGAAGTTTCTGATTTAATTTTTGGTTAAATTACAAGTTTTAATCTCTAAAAATTGTATCTAGTAAATCTCCTACTTAAAAAAAATATTGGATAAATCTCTTAACATTTTAATAATATTATATGTGTTATAAGTATAGTATTCGAACTTAGAAAAAGTCTTATACATGACTTAATCTTCCATTATGTAAAGCATATGTATAAATATATTTTTTTTAATACAGAGGTAAAGATTTAAACTTTTGACCTTAAGATAAAGAGCATATATTTTAACGGCTCTGCTAAGCTATCCTCGTATTGGCACCACCCGACAATTTGGGTTCGAGATAAGAATAACAATAATTGAATTTTGAGTATTGGGTCCCATCGTAATATTTTATTCATTCCACCAGAAAGTATATAAAGTGGTGAAAGTGGCATCCAAAGGAGAAAAAGGAAACAAGTCGTGAAAGTGGCTAAAGCAAAAAGTTAAGGCGTGTCCCACCTTAAAGTCCATGCGACATGTCGTCTTCAGCTGACTCAAATGATCATATATATGCTTTTTATTTTTTTGCAAATCCATTTAATAAAATAACCGCACTGTCGTTCACGTGGGATTGAGAAGAGCCATTTGGAATTTGGTTTTTTTTTTTTTATTTTCGAACACATTTCGTAGATTTGAAAATTGAATCTCAGTTTAAAAATGGTTGAAGGTGTTTAAATAATATAGTTGTAAAGTGGTGGTAATTTAACAACTAAATATTTAGTTCAATCTAAAATATTTATTAATAAATTTATTAACATATGTGTTATTAATTTTGTATAACTATTTCTTTACAATATTATATCATTTATAATATATTATGTTTTATATAATTTGATTTTAATAAAATTAAATCTATTTATAACATGGAATATTTTTCAAAGTTTTTATTTTTCTTTTTTTAATATAATTATATATGGTAAAATTTAAAATTTAAAAAGAAAGCTTATAATGTTGTGATATCACATAATCCAGACAAAGAAAAAGTCCAAAACAAATCTGCCAAAAATGAATCGGAAGCAATAAACAAAATCCAATTAATTTAATTTTATAAAATCAAATCAATTTATAACATGAAATAAATATTTTTCTTTTTCTTTTTTATAATGTAATTCTATATTGTAAATTTTAAAATTTAGAATTTGAAAACAAAGGAAACTTACAAATATTGTTTTTCGAATTTTTACATCACATAATCCAAAAAAGGAAACAAAATACCAATTTGCCTACCAACAGACTCTCTAAAATATAGGCTTGAAATAGTTTTTTGTGTTTCTTTATCAAAACTACTTCAAGGCCTTGAACTAATAGAAATTTCTTGTTATACGTTAATATTTATTACGCACAAGTGAATAATTTTGAAAACAAAAATAAACTATAAGTATTAAAAAAACAAAAAAATATATTAAAAAGAAAAATATATATATATATATTTTTTATTTCACAAAGAAGCATTGTGGGATGCTCATATTTAACATTAGAAAATCTTAAAATATATCTTTCACCGGTTAAACCTGCATATGCTCACAAATTTTAAGGTTTGATAGTTGAAATATATTCACAATTTACTTTTGTATTTCTATGTAACGACTCATTTATGAAGTTAACATAAACTTAGCTTGACAATAATTAACAATTATATTTGACAAAAAATTCATGAGTTCGAATCTTCCACTCTAATTATTGTACTCATGAAAAATACGTATTTATGAAAAATATACCTTGAAGTTATATTAACAAGGAAATTAATTAAATTTGGTTTTAAATCTTTATTTTAATAAGATCAATAAATAAAATATATTAAAAAAAGAATTCAAATAAACAAAAGGGACCTTTGAAATAGTGACTTTGAAGTTGAACAAAGGTAAAAGGAGAACCAATATCCTAATAATTTAGAGAAAGACTGAAAAAGCAAAAGCAAAAGCAAATAATGCAGAGAGAAACCAGAGAGGCTTCCCCATTAAAAAAAATATTCCTTTAGTTATTTCTAGTCAACAATATATTATTAAATTATTATTTTATTGACCTATTTTAAAACACATGAAATTTTTTTTAGTGCTTTAAAATAATATTTTATAAGACACATTATTAAGTAATGTATTATTTTATTTCACGTATCTCCATTATTTTAAATACCACCTGAAAAAATGAATCATTGATCATAATTAGTATAGAAAATTTTCCATAACTTGGAAAATTTCTTGACACGTAAAAATACCGTTAATAAATGTAAATTATGTTAATCAATGATGAGATAAAATTTTATATGAATAGGTTCTTTTAGTACGACATATGAAAATTGAGATTAGACGGTGGATAAGACTGTGCAAAAGTCAGTCCAGTATCGGAAACAAATGATATACCAACCGGATGTAAACATCTAAGTTTCACCTCATTTAACAATTTAACCGTGGTATATCAAAATCAATTTTTTTTACTATTTTCAAGGTTCTTAAATTCCCCATTAACTCGAGCCCAAACCTTCACAAAAACCAGAGACCAGAGAGAGAAATAAATTAAAAATGGGTCGTGTTTTTCCGGCAGTGGCAGTAGTGGCGGCGATGATGGTGGTGTTCCTCTCTTCCAGCCATTGCAGGGCTTCGATTCTGATGAAGGCCAACGCCAGCTGCGGCTGCGGCGGCGGCGGAGAATGTTTGGGAATCTCGGAGGCGGTGGCGGCGGAGTTCATGGTGGGAAGCCACGTGGCGCGGTTTCTGGATTTTGAAGATAACAAACCGAAAACGGACGAGACGAAAAATCCTAATGTGCAGACGTGTCCGAGCGGCGCCGGAAACGCTGGAGGCGCCTGCAACGGCGACCCCAACAGTAAAAAGGACTGCCCCAAGTACACCGGCTCCGCCACCTGCTGATGATCACGTGAAAACCCCGTGGCGCGGTTTCCTTGTTCTTTCTCTCTGTGTGTTTTTCTCTTCTTCTTCTTCTTCTTGTGATTTTGATGGCATGCCCATGCCCATGTGTGAGTGCTGGTTGTTTTCTGTCATGTGAAAAACCAATAAAATTCTCCATCTCTATTGTATTCTCCCACTGTATTAGTTAATCTTTTTTTTTTTTTCCTAATTCAACTGATTACGATTAAAAGTAATTTTTAGATAACCAGAAATCTTTTAATATAAAAGTCGTGGTTTATCATTTTAAAAAGTATATTCAGTTGAAATTGTGATAGAAAATAAACTTAAAAATAAAATAAATGGACGAAAGTAGTTACAGGACCAAAACGAATATTTTGATAATACATGGATTAAAATGAACCAAAATTGAAAGTAAAATAAACATTTTAAAAATACGGGAATCAAAATAAACTATAAAGTACAAAGGTCAGAATAGTATTTCTATGGCTGTGTTTTCTACGGTTTTAAATTTTTGTTTCTATAAGTTTCAGATTTAGTTTTGGATTAAAGTATAAGTTTTAAGCTCTCCTAATAAATGTACCTACTCTACTCCTAATCCTAACATGCATCCTAACTTTAAAACATGTTGAATAAATCACATGAAATTGAACGTGTGTGAATCTATTAAATATTTTTTTAAATTCATATAGACTAATTACACACAATCAAAATTTAAAAATTTTATTTATTAGACACACTTTTAAAATTCAGTAATCTGCTCTGCACATTCTAAAAATTTTTAAGGTACTTTTTAAAGTTTAGAAATTTATTAAACACAATTTTAAAAGTAATATAAGTGCTAAATATAGTAACAATTTCACCGTAAAAAAAATTAATATCGTAATTCTTCTTTTTCTTAAGCGAAAATAACTACTCTACCAAACAAAAATTTTAAAATTTATACAATAATCATACTTTTTCCAAATATTTTGAAAACCACTACATCTTGTTTTTGATATGGGTAATCTCTACATATAATATTTTGTGGCCCACTAGCAATTTTACTTATATAAATTACTCAACTGTTTCTTTGTGGAATGCTTAAATTGGAGGGAACTTTTAACTTTAATACCAAAAAGTCATATATATTCAATCCCCTCCGACAACTTTGTAATATTAAAAACAAAAAAAAAAAAAGGTAAAAAGAAAAAGAAAAACTTTAGTACCAAAAAGTCATGGCAATAAGAAAAAGACAAAAAATGGGAAAGAAAATGGTTTTCTTCACTGTAAATAGCCAATTCATTTGGTCCATTGATCGCTTTAATAATTCAAACCCACATATATATGCTTTATATATATATATATATTCTAATTCTACCTAACTTTGAATTATCATAAAGCAACTATTAAAAATCGGAATTCCACACATCTTTATCGATAAATGTTCAACATGATGATTTACAGTAAGATCAACCACTCATATGATATGATATTAAAATATGTGCTCGACACATTTAATTAGTGTAATCATCCATGACCATTCGAAGGTAGGTCTAATTTTACTTAACCATATTTGGTTTGGAATTCTCCCAGTACGTATATGTATTTACCTCTCTTTAACTGTCTATATGTATGATAGAATTTATATCTATCACAAACAACCTCTCGACTCGATAAAATTAAGCTTTTTTTGGTCTCCATTTGTGTCAATATATCTACTGGCATGTGGCATGAGACTTGTTGCATGGAACAGAAACCATGAAAATGTGGAAATTATTTGTTCTATCATCATATACATATGAGACAAAACCCTACTTTAACCATAATTTACACACATCAATATATCAAAACATATTATACAATGAGGTCTAAATTTTTTAACCTAGTGAGCAGCTAAGACATTTCCCTCGAGGTCGAAGATTAAATCTCCAAATTTTTTAACCTCGTGAGCAGCTAAGACATTTTCCTCGAAGTCGAAGATTCAATCCCTAAATTTTTTAACCTAGTGAGCAACATTTTCCCTGAGGTCGAAGATTCAATCCCGATATATCATACAAAAGTTTCTAAAAAAGAGAAAAAAAGCTTTGATTTTTCTCCCCTCTAATACTTCCCGGAATTGGGCCCACCACCGGTACTCCGATCAACACTCTCGAACATCTCTTCACTCATAATCGTCGACGCCGTGAAATCGGAGCCGCTGAGCACGGTGGCGACGTGGCTTTTATACGACTCCGTCCTCACCGATCTCCCCATCGACGATATCGGAGAAATCTGCTCTTCCGGATAATTCAATTCGCCGTCCGATTTACCCTCATCCGCTTCCTCCTGCAGTTGAATTATGAACCGTAATTTCTCCTCCACCACCGCCATCGTCGGCCGGTTCTTCATCTGATCGTTAATACAGATCGCCGCCAGCTCCAAATACTGCTTCAAACACTCCGGCGAAATCTTCCCCTTCAACGTCGGATCAATAATCTGATGAACGGTTCCTTTCTCCGAGCATTTCTTGGCCCACAGCGTAAGCTTGAACTTCTCTTCGCCGGCGGTGGGGTCCAGCGGTTTTCTCCCGCAGAGCACTTCGAACAAGACGACCCCAAATGAGTACACGTCGGATTTTTCCGTCACCTGAAGACGGCGGTGGTACTCCGGATCCAAATACCCCCACGTGCCCTTCACCGCCGTGCTCACCGCCGTGTTGCTCTGCCCCAATTTCGACATCCCGAAATCGGCGACTTTTGCGACCCAATTCTCGTCGAGGAGGATGTTCGTGGTCTTCACGTCACGGTGGATGATCGGACGGTCGAAGCCGGTGTGGAGGTAGTTTAGCCCACGCGCCGCCCCGTAGCAGATTTCGAGACGCTTCTTCCATGGGAGGGGATTGTTGGGGGTGTCGTAGAGATGGTCTTTGAAAGTGCCGTTTTGCATTAGTTCGTAAATCAGGAGCATTTCTTTGCCTTCGATGCAGTATCCGATTAGGGATACCAGATTGAAGTGCCGGAGCTCCGATAGTAATTCGATCTCCATTTTGAATTCCTGCGCGCCTTGCCGGGAATCGGGGTTCAGCCGCTTCACGGCGACCGTGAGATCATCTTCGTCCTCGAAAATTCCTTTGTATACGGCTCCGAATCCGCCAACTCCGATCTCTCTCTCCTTGTTGAAATAATCCGTCGCTTCTAAAATCTCATCGAAGGTGAAACTCCGGCAGCGTCTTTCCGGCAGCAAAGAGCCTTCTGTCGTCGTCGTCGTCTTCTTCTTCTTCCTCCTCCTTCTCTTTGTTTTTTTCTTGCTCTGTTTCAATATGACCAAAAATCCAACCAGAGAGAATAATATCGCGAAACCCACGCCGCCGATTACGCCGGCGATGATCGGCGTTGCGTTTGACTTTTTGGGTGATGGGTTCGCTCCCGCCGGCGGTGTGTCCGACCCCAGTGCCCGCCCCGGTGGGTTGGGCACTGCGAGATTGGTGCCATTGCTCTGTTTGAACACTTCAATTCCGTTCAAAATCGAATCGTAGCTCTCGCTCGGTAATGGGTGTAAATCGATCAAAATATTTCGAGTATTCTCATTCGCCATTAATACGTTGTAGTCCTTGAACATTGGAGAATTGACGGAATGTATATCGAGGGTGTCGATTTTCCGGCCATTTATGTTCACCGTAAAACGCGTCTGTTGTTCTTGGAACAGAAGGCAAAAATGTAGCCTCACCAGATAATTGAATCCCACATGAACTGGCAATCCCCACGACAAATTGCTTAACGGATTCGAGGTCTGATCATTAAGCGTAATTATGCCGGATTGATAAACTGAATCTGTAGCAGTGAAGTTAGGAGTGGAATCTGTATAGTTTATAGGAGCAGAGTAATTGTATATTTGATGGGCAGCAGAAATCACACCCGGATCGTTTCCTTCCCATATCCGGTACATGCCAGAATCTTGGATCGGCGAGAGCTCGTCGCCGCCGAGGTTTATCCGGTAATAAAGTTCGAGGGCAGTGTTGTTTGGGATCGCCCGAGAGAAATAGAGATTTTCCGGCATGGAGACGACTTCGATTCCGTTGATGAAGGCGTAAGAATTGGGAGATGGGGTGAAGGTGATGTTCAACGTCGAAGTTTCTCCGGCGACATGGATGCAGAATTCTCTGGCGACGAAGAGCTC